CCATCTCACAGTTTGCTTGTGGCATCCTGTCCTCATCTTTTATCTTATTATTGTCATTCTCCATCCCTCTTTCCTCCCCAACCCTTCTATTTTCGTCATCCCCTCTCTTCTCATTTTCTTCCCCCTCTCCATCTCCTGTCTCTTATACACATCTAGATGTGTATAAGAGACAGGACTCCGACCTTCCCCCTCACCACCTGCAATACCGACTTAGCCCCCCCCCGATCTTTTCCTCCCCTGCCCACCACGCGAACCTTCTTCCCCCGCTGCACCCCATTCTCCCCGTCCACCCACTTAGTTTATCATCAATCAAATATTAGTTAATTTCTGAATTACTTTAATCCCTAAAATCTTTGCAAAATACTTTTGTAACAATCTGCGATGAGCCCTTTCAAAATTTCTTTTGAAATACGTTGAAAGTAAGTAGTTAATAATTTGAAAGCTCATTATTTTCAAATTTATTTTTCACAATTTCTTTATATAGTTCATCTATTTTTGGAATACTTTTTATTTCTTTCCAAATTTCTTTGGAACTCGTTTTTGCAATTCGATTACGTTTTTATTAATCCTTTTTCAAAAATTTGAATTTGCTTTTTTTTCATTGCTTTAACTATTTTTGAATAAATCTCAAAATTAATTCGGAAATAATCACCCTTTTTTGCAATTTTGAAATTCCTTCTGAAATATTATTTTTGAACGTTGAAAATAATTAATTTTTACAAAATTATTTTGCAATTTCTTTGAAATATTATGAAATTAATCAATCGGAATTTCCTTTTCCTCTTTGAAATTCCTTGAATACTCTAGCATTAATCTCTTTTATATATACTCCTAATTCCTTTCGAAGTTTTCTTGAAATTCCTTTAATTAATTAGTCCGTTTCTGAAATTTAAATTCATTTGAATTAATTCTTATTTCGAACTCCTTTTCGAATTATTTCTTCTTAAATTGCAACGATTTTTTTTTTTTTTCCGTAATTCAAAAATATTTTCTTTCGAAATTCCACATTTTTTTGTAAATAAATTTAAATTTAAATCAAAATCTATTTTTTTGAAATTAATTACCTCTTCAAGCGTTTATTTTTGAAAATTTTATTGCGCAAATTTTTCTTTTCCTAAAATTTTGTTCTACCCATATTTTGAATTAATTTCGAAGAAGTAAAATTCCAAGTTGGAATAAATTTTACTTAAAATTAATTCCCACTTTCCCTTCCCCCCCAATCTTATTCCCTTCGAAATCTCGACAATTATTCTTATTAAACTTATTTTGAATTTATTGATAAATAAATTGTGTCCCCCATCCCCACATGCCACCACGCCAAACCAAGAACTCCCAATGCGCCGCCGCCGCCGCCATTGCTGCTGCTGCATCCTCCATATCTGTTTCGGTCGCGACCTCCATCCCCTCTTCCCCCAACATGCCTCAATCATCCATCAACATGTTTGATCTTCGCTCCAACTCCGTCGACAGCATTGCCCGCGAACTCGCAGGCAATCCGCCAACTTCGACCACCACCACCCCAGAACTCGCAACTTTCCTCCGAACGTTGACCGCCCTCCAATCCTCCCTTGACACCATCAACACCACCATGGCCGCCATCTCCGACCGTGTCACCACGCTTGAGGGAAACMCCCCCGCCATCACGGTCGTCACCACGACCACACCCTCCTCCTCCACACCCCAAACCACCCCCTCCTCCAGACCAGCCTCCGCTTCAACCCCCACATCAACATCACCACCCTCTTCATCCTCCACTACCTCCACTGTGGCCACTCCATCTCCCCTCTCGCCCAAGGCGAAAACCCCCGCCGTCACACAGTCATCAACCATCCCCCTCCAATCAAAAACCCTCTTATCCACCCCCACCATCACCTCAACTATCCCCAACTACACTCAGATTATCCCACAAGCTGTATATCCCGCTCCTCCACTACTTCCCCTAAATGCACTCATCCCCACCAACCCCGCCAATGATTTCACCCTGGTCGACTCCCCCCCCCCCACCCTCGACTTCAATGCCCTTGCCGCCGTTACAAACAGAGAAGGCAAAATTTCCCCATCATTCCGCGGCAACGAGATCCCCACCTTCTTGGGCCAACCCCATGAGGACGTTCTCCTCTTCCTCACCAAACTCCAACAAACCCTCTTCCTCCACGCCATCCCTGTCATCCACTGGCTCCCCATCGCTGGCAGCCGCCTCCTAGACAACGCGGCTCGCTGGTGGTACACCGAAATGTCTAATGGCCACCACTTCGGTCTCCGGCCTCACACCTTCCTTGAGTGGGCCACCCTCATCACCTCCACCTTCCGCCCACAGAAAATGGTCGACGACTATATCGACCAATTTTGCTGGCTCCAACAAAACGGCCCAACCGATTGTTTTGTGCAATACGCCCGCTCGCTTTGTCAACATATCCCTGTTGATATCGTCAGCAATTTCGCTTCCATCTCCCACGTTAAGCGCGTATGCCGCAAAGACCTAGCAGCCGTCCTTGTCCACGAGCCCCCCATGACCCTGGACGACCTCCTCACTCGTACCCTCCAACTCGATCGCATCCTCTCCCCCTACAAGACTGCACTTACATCGGCCCCTCCCCTCCCTCGCTTCTTCCACAACATTGCCTCCGAGGACACCACCTCCACCACCTCCTCAGACGAGTTCACTACACCGGACCCCGATGCATCGTCCGATTCACTCGACTCTTCATCCCTCTCTTTCGAGGAACTCAATGTCGTCCAGTTCACGAGGATGGAGTGCAGAGATCGCAGCTCTCGACCCCCCTCATCTCCCCCCCCCCCTCCCGCCTCAAGAAACTCACCCCCGAGGAGCGCACCTATCTCCAAGCAAAAGGGGGTTACTTCCGTTGTTGCCAATTGGGGCACCAACAAACCAACTGCCCCAACGCCGCACAATTCACCCGCCAGTCCACCTCCACTCGACCCGCAACCGCCGCATCACCGCCCTCGGCAAGCGCGGGTCCCTCCTCATCATGAACACAGTCCCCAGGACATCGACCCGGCATCGACGCCGCGTTTGTCGACCCACCCATCGGTGACGTCCTCCGTCCCACCGATGGCTCATTTGGCATTGACCATTCGTCTGCTAACCCCTCCTCCGGTGACTCACATCCCATCGGACAATCTCCAGGCGTCGCAGTCTACTCTGCCTGCATCCCTCCCGATGATGTCCCCTATTCCGTCGGATGAACCCTCCACTGCCACGTGTTCTTCCACCCTCCTCCCTAACCCATCTGCCACCACTTTCACAGATCTTGTTGAGGAACGAGCCCGACACGATCGGCTCATTATGTTAGGCCTCGAGCAACGCCGCCTCAACACTATGATCTCCTCTGCTTGTGCCGGATCCGCACAGTTCCAGCTCAAGTTCATTCCCGTTTCCCTCGGTGCATCGACGGTGAAGTTTCGGGCCCTCCTTGATATTGGTGCCACCGACAACTTCATCATCAACGCCTGTGTTCACAAAGTCGGCTTATCTTCCACCGACCATGACTCCCTGATCACTATCCGCCTAGGGGATAAGGACTCATCCATCGTCGTCGATCGTACAGTCCCTGAGACCACCATGGCTGTCGGCCCCTTTCACAGTCAGGTCTCCTTCGATGTCATGCACCTTATGTGCGACATCGTCCTAGGGACCCCGTGACTTGACCGCTACATGCCCTACTCATTCCACCTCTCTTTCGTCCGCCTCACCAGCCCTTCCGACTCTCCCGTTGACATCCCCTACCTTTTTCCCCCTTCCACCCCAACCGCCGTCTCCCCACATCAATTCCTCCACATATCCCGTGAACACCCTGACTCCACATGCCAGGGATTGAGTCCCCGTGTTTTCATTAAAAGTAAAATTGTTTTCATGTTCACTTTTTTTGTAAGTATAAATATACCACAAAAAAGATCGAAAAAATAGTGCAAATTTCAAAAACATGTTTGCATCTGTGAAATACGAAGTTTAGAAATTACATTTTGTATTGCACATTTAAAAAGTAGTAGATTATAATATCTTACATCTCAAGGCGATATCACAACATAGTTTACTTTTTCTAAATTGAAGTCAACATAAATTACTGCAACAACCAATGTTTAAAAATATGAATTTTCAGAGATTTCGGAAATAGTCATCACGAAATATTCATTATTTATTACATGTTTTCGACAATGAAACCAAGTACTAAATAATTCTCAGAGCAGGCCTAAGATTTCAAACATGCCGCCCTTGTTTGTCTCCTCTCCATTAAAAAAGTGGCATAGTACAGCAGTACACAATGGTTCTGCTATAAAGTTCAAAGTACTGTTCCATCGTAAAACCATTCTTAAATGACTCACTTATTACTTCAAACCTATCGACAAAATATCATGTGTCATTCTAACTCTCATAGCCGGAATGTCAACATGTGAGAAAGAGAAAGGCGGACGATAACCTCGAGCGAACAGAGAAGCAAAAGTTAATGTGAACACTCCACAACTTGCACTATCCTTCTGTTCAGGTACTCCGTCCGGGCTAGGATCACAATCAAACCTAACCTTTTCTCCGCGACTCTCATTTTGAAGACGACCAAACTCATATCTGAAAAACAATGAAAGTTTTTCAAAAATGTGATCGTACATTTTTTTTTCCATTCTACGACCTAAAGGTAGTGAATCGAAAATTTCAAGTTTGCAGCGTCGAACATCCATACATGCCAGCAACCAGTGCTGCATCTTAATGTTCACAGGAAAAATGACAAAATCGTAATCAAGAACACAACTATCCTTAACCTATTTTGCAACATCAATATGACAATACTCTTCATTTGAAAGAGTCGTCAATTTTGTGTAAAAGAAGGAATTCAAAATAAATACCCTCGGATTTCTCATATGGCAATCGCTCGATGCTTTCTCGAGCTTGTCAACCTTCAATCTGTGCATATCGTCTTGTTGGAGTGCCATGAGATAAAAATTGACGATTTCATCATTCAACCATTGCCCATATGTTATCAACAGATTGAGGTCCTTTATCGTTACTCTCCAAGTCCCTCGACTCGGAGGATTGATCTCCGCTAGAATCTTACCATCTTCCATGCTATCTATCACAGTTGTAACCTCTTGTGATTCCTTATCTGACAATTTCTTTGTAGGCAGTAAGATCACATGTATTGCACTTATAATGTTCCCCTGCAAGTCATCACTTGCTGCACATAACGAGAAGCACAAAATCTTGTGTTAATTATGACAAAGGAACCCGTTTTTTTTTAATGGCTTATGAGGGGACCAGTGCAATGGATGGTAAGAGCAACCCCCTCTAAGTGATCCCTTGTTGAAAGATTCATGTGTTGGTGGGGAACTGCACCTGCTCAAAATCGGGTCCGATGTCATATTTAAGGTATGAGCACGTGTGGGGAGTAGAGAAGATGAAAGTGTTCCAACATTGATTGCCTTGCCCCTGAGGCGAGGGATTTATTGCTAGCACGACGAGATGACTACCTTTCAACCTAATCTAAGGCTGCCTGATTCGATAGAACCATCCTAATAGCCAACGAGTCGTATTGAGGGTAGGCTTAATCGGAAACCAACCTACGCCTAATCACTTTCATAAATGACACTTCAAGTACCTGTGGTAAGAGCAGCCCTTCCTAATGGTTACCTGTTAAGGGCTTTATCCATTGGTGGCGAGCTTCACCTGCAGAAAATCAGGTACAAAGTTAAGGTATGAGCACGTGTGGGAAGTGGAAAAGATAAAAGTGTTGTTGCATTGATTGACTTACCCCTCAAGTGGGGAATTTGCGTCCATGGCGGACTCACCTACTGCTGATTGCGTTCATAAACAAAAACTCATTGCAGGTCCTTGTGGTGTTTTCAAGGCATATATCTTTTTTTTTCTTTTTTTTTGTTTTTTTTCAAGCTTCGGTACCCACACCTAAAAGGGTGATATGAGCATCTCTTTCAAATAAATCTTTATTGTGAAGGCTCCATCTATTGATGGGCAGCAGCATTTACTGGAAAATCTTGAAACCCTCTGTAGATCTCTGCTTCAATATAAAAGTGGACCAATCTCGAAACCCTATGTAAATCTCTAATTACCCAAATTGGTCCCTATAAGTTTTTCTCTATTTCATCTCCCCAAACACATTCTATACAAGCTTCCCGATGCTTAGCATCACCATCTTTGAGCTTCATACCCGCCGCTTTCAACATTTGAAGGACCCTTTTCTTCACACGAGGAACTGTAAAGGGCATAAATAACTTTTCCCCAATCCTTATCTTGTTCAACGGAGATGCGAAAAACGCTTGCTTGTTGATCATAACATTCTTGAATTGTGGCGTATTTTGTGGATGTACCCGCTTAGCATAATCACCGCCTGAGAAGGAAGTCATTGTCAAAATCACAACATGCGCAAAAATATGATTACAAGAACAATTTAAAGGGGTTGTTCAATAAATTTTCGAAAAGTATGTTAATGATATGAGCATTGCAGGATTAGTTATTACCCTTCATGAACATCTCATAACTTCGTAAGCAATGGAATTCGAACAATACCCTTTTTTCATGGTCAAGAAAAATCTAGAGAGAACATTGTATGAAGGTGGTAATTTTTTTTTATATTTCAAGCTTACCTTCACTATTGGAGTCGTTTTATGTTCCCTTCGCATGCCCGTTCCCTTGCAACACTAAATAACCAGCATCTTCTTCCCTTGAGTGGTGGAACTCTGAGGTCAATGCAGCATGCGGAGCCAACAAAGGAGAAACACACTCCTGATTCGCTGGAAAGGTTTCAACATCTTCCTTGTTGGTGATGTTTCTCGCGTTAGATGGTGACGTTCCTTGTAACACAATCTCGCATTGCATATTGTCAACATTTCCTCCAAGAGTGTCTGCTTCCATCTCACAGTTTGCTTGTGGCATCCTGTCCTCATCTTTTATCTTATTATTGTCATTCTCCATCCCTCTTTCCTCCCCAACCCTTCTATTTTCGTCATCCCCTCTCTTCTCATTTTCTTCCCCCTCTCCATCTCCTTCATTCGTATCAACCTCTTTGTTCACGCTTATAGGTGCAGTGCGTTGAACATGAACCGTTTGAGAACGAATCATTTGTGAGACATTTTGAAGCAAGAGCGGATCAACATTAGGAAGCAGTTGTCCTAACGCATTGGCTAATGCTTCCGCTGACAAATTCTGAGATGAGGCGGATGCAGGTGGAAGAGAAACCGCAGTTGGCGTTATTGATCCCATACTCTCTATAGGGGCAACAAATTGCAAACTAGCCTGAAAATTGGCATGTGATGGATCCACCATTGAAGGTTGCTTGAAAAGTCGCGTTGATGTCTCGTGTGTTGACAAGACACCATCTTGAGCAGCCGTTAGTTGTTCTTCAGCTACAGAAGTTGACGTCGAGTCATGCCAGCATTGTAACTCACCAACCAAAGCAGCTCCCAATGTATCATTGTCACTTTCCTCGTCAGAATCATTTTGGCAAAGACGTTGCCCCTCATCGAAGCATGTGGCATACGCATTCATGTCGAATACGCCGACATTGTCATTGAAGTACATTTGCTCCAAGCGGTCGATAAATAGCACCTCTGCCTCAGGACGTGCCTTGTGGTAACCTCTTAACAAACTCTCAGCTTTTTTTCTTCGCCTTGCATATACCGCATCACCACGATCTCGAGGTTGGGATCTAAAAAGAAGATGCCAGAGAGAGTCTCTCTTGTTGCCAAGTTTGTGAATCATGTCCCTATCTTCATCATGTTTGGGACGAGGCTTGACGAACGCAGCCTGATAAGTGCGATCGCCAACATTCCTCATTGTGTACTGCATGAGGAACTCAAAYTTCAARYTGTCTTCCTCCAAAGCAACAACATGTCGCTTACTCTTTAATAGCTCCCACAYSGTAGCAGCATGACTCTTYYMTAAGAAAAGCACTGYMTGATCCTCGGGACAAAAATGCTCTAACATCTCCACCATTTTGTTCGGTTCCCTTTCCATCCCCTCATACACATTTTTCTCTCTAGACTCCATCCCTGCCATTTTCCACTTCGTCATGGCAAACGACTTCTCCTCAAATTTCTCGTTAAACACCCTCTCCTTGCCTTGTCTCATACGTCGAGGTGGCTCAAATGAAGTGGACGATGAAGTCTCTCCCTTCACCAAATCACCAGAAAGTGTTGCATCGAAGTYATGGACGCTGATCGTGTTGCGATGATAATCGCCATCGTTGGAGTACATGATCACGAAAATTCTGTCGAGCTCTCCAAGTGGCATATTTCCAACTCGGTTTGGATGCTTCATTGAATGTTGAGTACGCCGTGCCCATGCTGATATGACAAGATGCACATTGTCGAAATCCCTGATCCTTTGGATGAAAGTTGTCTCCCAAGATCTTGGGATGAAACACATTAATGACCAATACTCACCTCATAAGTCACAAAGGAAGTTGTACACTGAGCGGAAGACATCATCAATCCATATATGCAAAGGTGTGGGGTGACACAAGTCCAATATTGCAACATGGCATTCGAGGTGTTTCATCGCACGTTGAACATCAGCAGCATCTCCCTCGTCACTTGGAACGTCATGCGCCTTGAACCTGAAGGGTACAAACACAGATATAAAATTTTGTTTCTTGAAGTGGATGTGTTTTATCAACCCTGACAGTCGAATACTCTCATTTCCTCTTTGCTTCGACTTGTCAAAAATTCGCTCAACGAAGCTTCTGAATCGCGCCGGACACTCTTGAGCAAGTTTTGCCATCTCGCCCACCACCTTCTCATTCTCTCCCCCCAACTTTTCGGGAAACCTATCAACATAAGTACTATTTGTAAAGTACTTATTTCTATTGACTGCCCACTTCTCCCAGGTAAGGCCCTCCGACTCAAATTCCTTTATAATGATGCATAAATCATTGAAAAACTCATCATTCCATGGTGGCCTTTGTTGTGGGTCGTCATGAGACTGTTCCCAACGAAAATAATGAAAAAGTCTCAACATCGCCCGATCTTTCTTGATGTTATCGACATACACATCCATTTCCTGTAACCCTGCATTCTCAGCTTTAACACTCATTTTAGGAGCGAGAATGACAAACCCAGACAAGATATCAGTAAGAGCTTGGATACGCTCTCGTCTACCCAGAGTTGCCATGGTTTTCCATACATGCACATCTGGATCACGCACCGCCACGAAGTGATTAGCACCCCCGGTTCCAAGCACCCAATTCACTGAAATCCTCCTATCTTTCTCTTCATAAGATCCTGGACCAGCTTTGGTAACTCTTCCAACTATACCAATCTTACGCCGAGGAAGAATACCATCACGTCCTGGCAAGTCTCCTTTCTCCCACGGATCGTACACCTCCATGACCTTCTCCCAAACGTCATCCGTCGCCTTTGCAAGGATCATGTAAGGGGCGAGAATGTCTGACCACTTCCTCTCCCACTTCCCTTGTGACAACTCCCAATTCTTCGAGCTGCCAATTTGACGGAGCGCTGCTTTTGCAAACTCTTCGTACTTGTTTTTTTTCTCCTTCGCTGGTCCATATACTACAATGCCAAGACCAACTTGCGGGCAACCCCAATCCTTGTATGTCTGCCTTATCGTCGTCACAATAGAGCGTTGCGAAGGTGGAACAACCATCTTGTCTTTCAAGTTCTCATATGTACTAAGTTGCTGATAATTGTCCTCATGCTCATCCGGAAAATGCACAGGCCTCACAGTCTAATAATCTACACGGAGGTCTGTCTGTAAATCCGGGCGTTTCTCAATGAACAGTCTGGCCGCCGCAACGTTATGTTGGCCGCTCAAAGGGTACCAATAATACCTATCAACTTGATCTACCCTGAACTCCTTAGATGTAACTCTTGTGGCCTTACAACACTGTCCTTTGGTTGGATCAACAGTGGGCTTATCGTGTAGGGGCACTAATATCAATGTCGGTTTCGAGTAAATAGGCTTACTACGATTGAACTTCTCCAACACTGACCTCTCCATCGCATTCTCTATGTCCTCTACGTGAAGAGGGTTCAGTCCACGGTGGTTGTAGCCATGTTCATGGGCAGGAATATCCAAAATCATGTCCAACCTAACTGTGCAAAAATAAGTGTTTGTGTTCATTTTCCCATCCTTTCCATAATCCATGAAAAATCCATTTTCAACGAAAGATCTTGGAGGAGACAGATGAGAATTGAAGGCTGGAAGGTCTTGTTGGTGCTGCACCCTCTCCTTCGTCACCAGATTGGGCAGCCCCCAAAGGCTCATAGATCAAGGTCTTCTCCATAGTCCCCCCTTTAGCAGCCTTCCGCTTTGGTTTCGCAGCCATTTCGGCAACCTTATCAGCATCTCGCATTCTTACGACAGTCGTGGGGAAATCCAACGGCTGGACAGTTCAAGGACCTCCACTATTTTCTATCTTTCGTCCTTTTCTCTTGTCAACATCCCTTGTGGTTTTCCTCTTACCCTTCCTCCCAGCCTCTCCCTTCTCACCTTCTTTCCGTCTCTTTTTCCGATCACCTTCATCACTATAGAATGCAGGTTGTAATCGCTGAGGGTAAGCCCTGGTGATGGCGTGTCACCAGTAAAAGGATGCATTGCCTCCCTAGATGCATCCTCCTTCGAATGGAGAGAATGTTCCTGCTCATCACTTGTTTCACTATCGTCATCGTCAAAGCCCTGTGGAACCATAGGGATGTCAGTTAGACTGAGTGGTTGGCTTGCACGTGTGGGTGTGATAGAGTCATTGCCTGATTGCCGAATGTGCAACTTCAACTTTATGGGTGGTTGATGCCTGTGAGATGCCTTAGGAGCAAAGTCTCTAGCCCCTTCTCTGTCATGTGGAATACGCACATTGATTGCAGAACGAACCAAGGCACCTTCAACAGTCACCCTTGGTTCAGAAATCGTCATCCCTTTCCAAACCTGAGGATATTGACCTACGACTCGTTTCTCAAGTGCAAATTTGAGAAACTGCACAACAGGTGGAACTTTTGACTCTGCAGTCAAGAGATGCCAAACATTAGCGGCCCCAGCACCATAACCCAAGAACTGTTCCCATTCCAAGTTCACAGAACGAAGCCCTAAACATATGCGTCCCTTTCGGTCAAGTACTGAATTCATGAAGAAAATGACGTTTGTTTTCTTTGCACCAGAAAACCGAGCCACTGCACCAACAGGAAGAATTTTTCCTCTATCCAAGCGGAAAAGGACCACGCCACAACCTGGCTTGCCAGACTCGCCAACCCAATCTAACATCCACCTACTTCTACGCGCTGAGAGTTGTGACTCATGTTGCTCGCTCTGTTGTTGAACATCACATGCAATCTTCAAGCTCTCAGACTGTCTTTCAGATTCCGTCCCTCCTGTCCCACTGGTAGAGTCATCACCAGCAGACGTTCCTCCTGTCCCACTAGGCGATACTTGATGGGGAGTTGACTTACCCCCTTCTTCCCTCTAGAGGGAATCAGAGCATGCTTTTCAGGAGTCTGAGAACATTGTTTCCTTTTCTTCCCGGATGATGTCCTGCGGCCAGTGTTGTGTCGTTGCCCGGAAGGTGACAACAAACTAGGCTCTTTTGGTTCCATCTACACATACCGTGACACACGTGATGAGGAGATAGACATCATCATAATTAAGTACACGGAAAAATCCGTGAAAGAATAGATCAATCACTTATACCCTAAAGAATATGATAAATTAACAGACCACCATTGAATAATTAAATAAGATAATGTCCAAAAGAAGGGTAACCCACTCATCTTATTCTAGGTAACAAGGAGGGAGGGAGGCAAGAAGCTATGGTGGCAGGAAAGGA